CCCGCCGCCGCCGCTGGCCGCCTTGTGAGTGGCGGGCCGCCCAGCCTGCCATCACCGCAGCAGCAGCAGCAGCAGCAGCCGGGCTCCGCGAAGCGCGCGGTTTGCCGCATCACGGCGGGCGCGTCAGGGGGGCCGTCTGCGCCGGCACCTCGGCTCGGCGACGTGCCCTGGTCGCCGGGAGGCTGCGGCCAACAACATCTGCAGCAGCAGCTGTTGCAGCAGCTGGCAGCGGTTGGGGCAGCTGGGCATGCTGTTGCTCAATGCTTGCGGGTCTGACGCTGCGGTTGGGGCCACAGCCACTTGACCCAGGCGTTCCGACCACCAGCGCTGTAACCCAAACCACCATTTTTCGCAAATAAGCATTGCGCTTGTGTGTGTGTGTGTGTGTGTGTGTGTGTGTGTGAGTGAGTGCGCGCGCGTGTGTGTATGCGCGTGCGCTTGGGGGGACCTCCCCGCGCAGTTCGGGCCCGGTTTGCCGCGCCGCAGCCCATGTCCAATCAGCTTCCATGGGTCAAAGGCGCAGGCTGAGCGTCCCTGTTGGCTTCAAGTCCTGAAGCGTGGTTTAGTATGGGGGCACAAAGATATGGTGCGGATGCCCGTAATGTTCACGAGGCCAACGCACACCCGGTCTGAAGCACGCCCCGCCCTCCCCACTGGCCAACCCTGCAGTGGGCACAGTTGCCCTCCCCTTCACTCCCAACAGCCATGTGCTGGCCCTCGAGTGGCTTGCCTCAGGCGTGATGTATCCCACTCTATCCCGTCCCGCCCTTCCACTGCTGCGTGGGGTCGCGCCGCTGCGCTCGCCCAATGATGGAATGCGATTTGATTGTAAGATTGTTACAGCATCCTGCGGTCGCCCGCTTCTGGAGCCCATAGCCCATAAGATTTGACTTTGAAGCATCAGCATTTGTGACTCAGGTTCAACGCTGTGGACGCTTGCGTCGTTCGAAGCAGGCGTGCACAAAAGCCCCAAGTGCGTGCTTTTATCGCAAGGAGTGAGGAACATCACCGGCGGGGGCACCCAAACAGAGGGGCATCTCACAGCCATCCTGCTGAAGACAAGAGCTCAATCGAGTGCAAGGGCGACGACCGGCACGAGCTCGACCGAAGCGGTCGGAGCCCTGCTCGCTGAAGGGGGTGCTGGTGCACGCACCATGCGCTTGCATGCGTCACTGGAAAAAAAACGCAGCAGCTGCTTAGTCCCTTCTCTAGGCCACCCTGAATGCACCAATTTCACAAAAAATTTAACCATGATAGCCGTAAGCTCTTGCGAGCGAAGGCGGGCGAATGCGCATGCCAGCAACGCGACGGCGGCCAGGGTATATGCGGG